GCTGTGCGGCGTGGACGCTCGCGGGAGGGCCCGGCAGAGCCTGGTCACTCGCTCCCTGACCCATCCCTTCTCCACCCTCGTCCCAACATGGTTCTTGGAAATGATCTCCCAGGTCGTGGCTGGCAAACAAGCGGGCATGAGCGGGCGTCAGGGACGCCGTCACCTGGGGCTGGAGTGCGGTCCTCCCTCTGCTTCGCAGGGTCTGTGCTGTGGATCCCAGGACGGGCAGACCTGGTGCCCAGGCTCCACACCCCACCCAGCACGTGGACCCTGCTCTCGGCCGCCGGGCCAGCCTCCGCCCACAGCTCCCCTGAGGGGGTTTGCCCACCGCCTCCCCGTCCCATTCCCCCCCAGCACAGGCACAGGCACAGGCCAGACGCTGCTGCCTTCGACAGGAGGGGCCATGCCCACTGTCTCACGGGTCAGCACCTCTGTTCCTTCCCCAGTGCCCAGCAGGTGCCTGACCCACTGCACAGACACCGGGCACAGCAGCACGAGGACTCGACTTCCTCTCCAGACCCAATGCCCCTTGCTCACTCCTGCAGGCCTCCCAGCCCACTCCACCGACAACGGGGCTGAGGTCGTCCCGTCACCACGACGCGTTCCTGTCTGGGTGAAGCCTGCAGACCTGGGCAGAGCCCCCTCCTTCCCCTGCACGCGCAGCCCCCTTCCTGTTTATCTCAGAGCAGGAAAATGAGTGGAAAGGCCCAAGTCCCGCTGATGCCTGTGCAAGTGACATCCGCGGCAGGTTTCCCCAGAACACGCTCTCTGCCTCGGGACCGGCCGATAAGCGGGTTCCTGTTTATTCCCGCGGAGAACGCTCGGTCCAGGCTGCTGGGGGCACTAGCGGGCCCGGTGCCCTTGGGCACAACGGCTTCTTTGTGGGAAGTGTTCCTCGGAGGCACAAACCCCCGCTCATCCCCCTCTTCTCCCCTCTGCACCCCCAGGATCCACCTGAAGGGCCTCACGGGGTCAGCCGGCAAGATCAGCAGCATCAGCCAGCCGGGGAGCGACTTCAGCACCAAGGACGCGGACAAGGACCGGTGCATCTGCAAGTGCGCGCAGATGCTCACGGGAGGTAGGCCCTTCCTGTTTGTGTGGGCGAGGGCCCTGCACCAGCCGTGGGAGGTGACAGCGTCCACATTCACAGACAGGCCTGCCCGCGGGAGAAGCTCGCTTTCCGCTTGTCCACCTGGAGCTGCTACCGCAGGACAGAACTTGGGCACCGGGTGAAGGACAGTGACTCAGTCCAGGGGCCACATCACAGAACATAATGATGTAAACACTGCACCAGAGTATTTTCCAAAGAAACAAAACACCCAGATACAAGTACAGCCGCTGCCCCACCCGCCGAGCTAACACTGCTCGAGGTTCACTCACATCACGTCTCACTACATACGGAGCGTCAACAGCCATGCGCCCGCCTCCGCGTCTTAGTTCCGTATAAATGGCATCACTCTCTCTGTCCTTCCAACACAATGTTTCAGGATTTACTCAGACTCACACCCTCCCTGCAAACCTGGGCACCTGTGGGCTGGGTCAGGGTGACAGCAGGTGCCAGGCACTGGGTGCCACTGGGTGCGGATGGGGACCCAGCCCCCGCTGTGCCACACACTCACCCAGCTTCACCCAGTGAGCACTGCTACGGCTTTAAATTTTTTATATCTAGCTCCACTGGACACTTAAAACTTGGGGTTATATTTTAAACAAAAAGAATTTCTCAGGGGGTGGGGGGAGCCTGCATCAGTCCAGTTCACTGAGCTGGGGAACTGGAAAGGGTGTGGCTGCCGAGAGCCACCCCAAGGCCTTGGTGTCCCCGTCCAGACCTTCCGCCCCCTGTGCGTGGCCGTGGCCTCCCCACCCAGCGCCCGAGCAAAGGGGAGAAGCCTGCCCGAGCCCCGCTCACAGTGCAGGGGCACCCTCCCCTCTGCGGCCCCGCCCAGGGCACTCAGACACCGTCACAGAAAATGCAGTGAATGTGCCGCGTGGACCGGCGGGTGGCTGCTCCCCGGGAGGGTGGCCCCATCCTAACCCTCTGCTGCGCTTCACAGGCTGGTGGTTCGACGCGTGTGGCCCCTCCAACCTGAACGGAATGTACTACCCGCAGAGGCAGAGCACCAACAGGTTCAACGGCATCAAGTGGTACTACTGGAAGGGCTCGGGCTACTCGCTCAAGGCCACGGCCATGATGATCCGGCCCGCGGACTTCTGAGGCCTGCGCCTGCGGCGGGGGCTGCGGCATCCCTCCACCTGAACCCAGGGGACACAGCTGCGTTGTCCCTCCACCCAGAGGGACACGCCCGGGGCCCGAGTCAGAGCCCTCAAAACTCCCCACGGACACCTGCCCTGCTCGGCAACCCCAGCACAGCCCGACCTTCACCTCGTGACCTGCAGGGCGTCTGCGCAGAGATGAGCTTAAGCTGCAAATGAGAAGATGGCTCGCGGGCTCCGTGTCACGCCGTGTCAAGCGCATCAGTGAATAACTGGAAACAGCTCTGGGCTCCGGGGTCGTCTGGCTGCATCCCCGCTCGCCCGCCCGGGGCTGGCGGAGAGGAAGGCAGCCTCCACGCCCCGCCCCGTGCACAGACTCAGGGGCTCCCTGGGAGGGTCACAGTGCCTTTGCCCTCCTCTTGGGTGCTTTACATTTTCATCTGAAAACAGCGTATTTGCATAGGTGTCGCCAGCTTAGTTCTAAGCTAATGCTCAAAAACAGATGTCAGGTTTATACGGAGAAATTCCCAGGATGTATTCTTTTATTTTATGTAAAGATTGTACTACTTTTTTTTGCTGCCTGTTAACTATGAAGTTATTTTAGTAATTAAATATAACTTATGAGATGACGACATTGAACTTTCATGATAATATTTACAATCCCATTTAATTCCAAAACAACGGCCGTGCGTCCTGACCAGGACTCTCCCTCTCAGGACAGACCCGCCCTCACCCACCAGCCCCTGGGGGCTCTTCCCTCCGGGGCGGGCAGGCCGAGGAGGGGAAGCCCAGACGTGGGGCGTGCACGAAGCTGTACCGCTCGAGCTAAACGCCCTCCTGAAGTTATTTCAGGAAAAAGTCATCTGTATCAGTACGGTATTTACAAATGTCTACCAGAAAACTTGGAAAAGGGGTTTTGAAGCACAAAACGGAAATCTGGTGCTCACCTCGCAGTCGCTCGCCCAGGCCGCACCCAGGCCGACCGGGTCTAACTCGGCAGCTGTCCCCGCGGGGAGCACGGCCGCTCTGAGCTGCCAGGCCCTCGGGCATCTGGTTTCCACCCAGTTGCCAGGCAGCTCAGCCAGCTGGACAACCAGCCACCGTTCACGTGTCTTCACCCTCTTCCGTCCCCCACCGCCGTGTCCCTTAGTCCGCGCTCTTCTCTAACTGATGTGGCCCCACAGGCCGCCCGCCCCTGCAGCTCATCACAGACTGGCCGGTCGGGCGCGCTCCTCGCTCCGTCCCCCTGACCAGCGTGAGGCTTTATCACCCATCAGAGGCGCCCGCCGTGTGTGGAGGCGAGAGCGTCCGATGAGACTCACGGCTGGAGGAGCGGCACATTCCAGGTCTCAGTGAGCCCGCGGCAGAGAGAGGGGAGGCCGACACGGGAGAGGCCTTCTGATGAACAAACCGTCACGCACCAGTCGACAGCTGTGCAGTCCTGCTCCCCAGCCACCGAGACCACCTGCAGGATCGGGCCTCAGCCTTTGGAAACCAGGCCCTGGCGCCTACCCATTCGCATCGGTCAAGTCGAAGCCGAGTTTAGGGAAACGGGAAAACAAAGTCTGCGGCGTACTGCTGGCAGGCCATGTTTTTACACCTATCAGCTCTGTCTCTACGGGCAGCAACAGCATCACCTTTCAAAGCTGCGATCGAGATACAGAGTTCCTTCTCAAGACCCCGCCTTCTCATTTTTGTTTCTCAGTCCTGAGGGCTCCACAATTAAGACTTTTTGAGAATGCATTTCTCACAACTTTTTGCAAAGATTTTTACATTTGTTCTCACAAATAAATAGATTAAAAAGTATTCAGTTCTGTGGATTTTTTTTTAGTTATGGGCATAAGTGTTCTTGATTTAATAAACATCTGAGCCCTTAGCTTTGCTAGTAACAGTTTCTCAAGAAATTGTAGTTGTGGTTCCCACCACAAAGTAACGCTTGACTCACCGGAGCGGCGGGAAAGGAGTCGGAGAGCTCGAAGGGTTCCTCAGAAATCCAGTGACCCAGTTCCAAAGACCACAGGACCTGCAACGGCACAGAAAGCAGCATTTTAAATATTTACTGTTAAATATTCTGAGTGAATAACAAGCCATCTAGAAGCTAGCAAAAGGAAAACCCAGCGGCGAGTGCACCCCCCAGATCAGAGCAGGCGTGTCGCACCCCGAAGGGGCCCAGCACCTCCAGCTGCACACACGGCACACAGGTAAGGGCCTGGCCAGGTGACGTCTCGTGATGACTGGACGCCAGGGCTATTGTCCCATGGAGGCCAAGTACGACCAGAGACCACCCTGCTCCTAGACACGGAACAGGACATTTCTTTAAGACTACACGTTTCCAACTTAAGGAGGCAGGCAGACGGTGCTCAGGAAGTGTTTCCACAGTCTTATTAAAAAGAAAGGCACACAAATTAGGAGAAGACAGACCATAGGCCTAAACTTACACAGCAACCCCGTGGTGTGTGACTGTTCCTAACATCGTCTGACTTTCAGAAGTTCCCCAGAGCACACGTGAGAGACCGCAGGCAGGTAGGTCAGCGCATTCCAACGGCGACCCGCCCGGTGCACGCGGGGCTGCCCGCACTCTGGTGCGAAGGGGACCTGGTGTGTAACTCGACGCTTCCCTTCCTTACATGGATTTCAAAGGGCCTCGCCGAGAGGACGTTTTTCTCTCCTTCAGAAAACATTTATGAAGGGGACAGGAAATCAAAGCAGTCATCTTACAAATGAAAACAAAACAGCCCAACAACCCGAGAGCCACAGCGATTCAGGGCAGAGGTCAATGTCTTGTCACGTGATCAGCACCCCAAACACTCGAGCGACCAAAACGCACCAAGGCTGGTGCCAAGACCACCGCCGTTCGCCTTCCAGGTCACAACCTTCTGATGAACAAACCATCATGCACCAGTCGACAGCTGCGCAGTCCTGCTCCCCAGCCACCGAGACCACCTGCGGGATCGGGCCTCAGCCTTCGGAAACCAGGCCCTGGCGCCTACCCATTCGCATCGGTCAAGTCAAAGCCGAGTTTAGGGAAACGGGAAAACAAAGTCCGCGGCGTTCTGCTGGCAGGCCACGTTTTTACACCTATCAGTTCTGTCTCTACGGGCAGCAACAGCATCACCTTTCAAAGCTGCGAGCGAGATACAGAGTTCCTTCTCAAGACCCCACCTTCTCATTTTTGTTTCTCAGTCCTGAGGGCTCCACAATTAAGACTTTTTGAGAATGCATTTCTCACAACTTTTTGCAAAGATTTTCACATTTGTTCTCACAAATAAATAGATTAAAAAGTATTCAGTTCTGTGGATTTTTTTTAGTTATGGGCATAAGTGTTCTTGATTTAATAAACATCTGAGCCCTTAGCTTTGCTAGTAAAGTTTCTCAAAGGCCAAGTACGACCAGAGACCACCCTGCTCCTAGACACGGAACAGGACATTTCTTTAAGACTACACGTTTCCAACTTAAGGAGGCAGGCAGACGGTGCTCAGGAAGTGTTTCCACAGTCTTATTAAAAAGAAAGGCACACAAATTAGGAGAAGACAGACCATAGGCCTAAACTTACACAGCAACCCCGTGGTGTGTGACTGTTCCTAACATCGTCTGACTTTCAGAAGTTCCCCAGAGCACACGTGAGAGACTCCCAGACTGTGAAGAGGAAGTATCTCATGAACACGCTTCCATCAGCAGCAGCAGCAGCTGCAGCATCTGAATCCACACATTCAAATGATCAAAACGACGTTTTCATTTTGATTCAGCAACGCCTGAGACTCGGGCGCCGTCTGCTCTGTGACCGAATCCCTCCAGCCTGTCTCTACGCTCCGCTCCGGCAGGATTCACAACCGGAGTCACCACATAACGCACGTGTCGGTCACGCCACGTCTGATATCCCTTCTTCCCGCAGTGGCTACACAGAGCTACGTCCTTCCGGCTGAACTGCTGGCGATGAAGCGGAAGCCTTCCCTTTGGGAGTTCCTACAGCTCAGCACCATCTATGGGCGCCGGCCTGAAGCATCCCCTCCTACCAGCACAGCCAGCACGACCCACATGGGACGGCCACGCTGTTTCTAAGAGCAAGTGTGTGTGGCAGGGAAGCTGGGCGCAGGGTGCAGGGCACGGGGTCCGAATGCTACCCCCAGCACTGGCCTGGGCCCTCAGACACATGGAGTCACTCACAGCTCTTTCCTGGCTCATGTATCGCTCATCTGTGACCATGAGCAGGATCCCATGCCAGGTCCTGGAAACACACCCAGACCCCGAGGAGGCCAGGCTCTGTGGGAGGCGGGGGGGTGGGGCGCAGACCACATGGGGTGCTCCGGCACAGGCCGTGGGAACCCAGAGGGGAAGCCAACTGGCTGCCTAGCAGGGGTGGGGAACCTTTCTCGCCAAGGGCCGTTGGGGGATTTACAGCATCATCCTCGGGCCACACAACATTAGCAACTGATTTGGTCCAACATTTAATGAACTCGGCAGGGCCAGACCAAACAATTTCCCGGGCCTCAGACCCGTGGACGCGAGGCTCCCCACCCTGGTCTAGGAGAACCCAGAAAGGGTCGGCCACGAGCTGACGTTTACATGGAGCTCAGCAGGCAAGGGGGAGGGGACGCCAGCGGAGAGAGGACTCCAGCCAAGACGGCCCCTTTCCAAATGGAGTGGGGTGCTCTGGAAGAAGGGTAGGAAGACAGGGGTGGCGGGGCCCGTTGGGGAGGCATGAGAGATGCTGTTTCTTTCCCCGTGTGCTGGGGGCATCGGCTCGGGGCAAGAGAATCGGGAGAAAAGCTAGGAGCGAGCTCCTGGGCTGGGCCCTCCATGGCCTGGGGATCAGCAGGCCGAGGGGAACCTGCCTCCGTGGGAGAGGGGACGGGCAGGCTGTGAGCTCGGGACCGCTCCGTCTCCAGTTGGTCCTGTGAGTCCACAAGCATTTTGCCAATTAGGCCGCTTTTTGGTTGTCCCCTGATTTTTACTGCCTAACCAACATTAAAAAAAAAAAAAAAACTTAGGAAGTTCAGTGAAAGGAGGTTTTATAAGTTTGGAAACTCGACACTGAAGCCGTTTCCCCGCTCTCTCTGGGTGGTTAAACACTCAGAATAACTATTTTCCTGACTTTATCGGCCACGGTCACTGACAGAGACACGCTAGCTGCGTGGTTGCTCACAGTCACATGCTTTGCCCAGGACCCAGGCTCAGCGTGGACAGGAGGCAGCGTGACCAGCAGGAGGCCAGGAGCACACAGTGCCAGAGCCAGCGTGGCACTGAGTTCAAGTAGAAGCCACACAAAAATGCCACCAGATTCAAAAGCCTCTGGGGAAACTTGTTCTCTGAGCTGGTCCCTCTCTAAATGTTATGGAAATAAAGCCTAGGACATCGACAGTACAGCTTTGGTAAGTGAACTGTGTTTTCATTTCTCTACGTACTCAAAGAATGAATAATTTACAGAGATAACAGGAAATAGATTCCACTGTAAGGAAATCAAATCAGAAATATATTACAGAAAGAAGTACACACTTTTTCCTTTAGTACCCTCACTAGCCAAACTGATCTTTACCTCCGTATTCAAAACAGAGAAAGTATATTCTGCCAGACACGCTCCGGCAGGATTCACAACCGGAGTCACCACATAACGCACGTGTCGGTCACGCCACGTCTGATATCCCTTCTTCCCGCAGTGGCTACACAGAGCTACGTCCTTCCGGCTGAACTGCTGGCGATGAAGCGGAAGCCTTCCCTTTGGGAGTTCCTACAGCTCAGCACCATCTATGGGAGCCGGCCTGAAGCATCCCCTCCTACCAGCACAGCCAGCACGACCCACATGGGACGGCCACGCTGTTTCTAAGAGCAAGTGTGTGTGGCAGGGAAGCTGGGCGCAGGGTGCAGGGCACGGGGTCCGAATGCTACCCCCAGCACTGGCCTGGGCCCTCAGACACATGGAGTCACTCACAGCTCTTTCCTGGCTCATGTATCGCTCATCTGTGACCATGAGCAGGATCCCATGCCAGGTCCTGGAAACACACCCAGACCCCGAGGAGGCCAGGCTCTGTGGGAGGCGGGGGGGTGGGGCGCAGACCACATGGGGTGCTCCGGCACAGGCCGTGGGAACCCAGAGGGGAAGCCAACTGGCTGCCTAGCAGGGGTGGGGAACCTTTCTCGCCAAGGGCCGTTGGAGGATTTACAGCATCATCCTCGGGCCACATAACATTAGCAACTGATTTGGTCCAACATTTAATGAACTCGGCAGGGCCAGACCAAACAATTTCCCGGGCCTCAGACCCGTGGATGCGAGGCTCCCCACCCTGGTCTAGGAGAACCCAGAAAGGGTCGGCCACGAGCTGACGTTTACACGGAGCTCAGCAGGCAAGGGGGAGGGGATGCCAGCGGAGAGAGGACTCCAGCCAAGACGGCCCCTTTTCCGGCTGGAGTGGGGTGCTCTGGAAGAAGGGTAGGAAGACGGGGCGGGGGGGCCCGTTGGGGAGGCATGAGAGATGCTGTTTCTTTCCCCGTGTGGCTGGGGGCATCGGCTCAGGGCAAGAGAATCGGGAGAAAAGCCAGGAGCGAGCTCCTGGGCTGGGCCCTCCACGGCCTGGGGATCAGCAGGCCGAGGGGAACCTGCCTCCGTGGGAGAGGGGACGGGCAGGCTGTGAGCTCGGGACCGCTCCGTCTCCAGTTGGTACAGCAACCCCGTGGTGTGTGACTGTTCCTAACATCGTCTGACTTTCAGAAGTTCCCCAGAGCACACGTGAGAGACTCCCAGACTGTGAAGAGGAAGTATCTCATGAACACGCTTCCATCAGCAGCAGCAGCTGCAGCATCTGAATCCACACATTCAAATGATCAAAACGATGTTTTCATTTTATTCAGCAACGCCTGAGACTCGGGCGCCGTCTGCTCCGTGACCGAATCCCTCCAGCCTGTCTCTACGCTCCGGCAGGATTCACAACCGGAGTCACCACATAACGCACGTGTCGGTCACGCCACGTCTGATATCCCTTCTTCCCGCAGTGGCTACACAGAGCTACGTCCTTCCGGCTGAACTGCTGG